CACAGAGAATGAGAGGCAAGAATGTAACACGGAAAATGGGGGATGGAAATAAATTTACAAAAAAACTGAATATATGGTGGTGGGAGGTATGCCCCATGATTTAGACACTAGTATAGGAATAATTAAAGGTAAAATTCAATACAAGTATTTGGGAGTCACACTAACAGCAGATGGTAGAGACGAACAGGAGGTGAAAAATAAAAATATAAGAGGAAAAATAGCCCCAAGACAGTTGAATCCAGTGCTATGGAACTCAATTATTTCAAGACAAAGAAACGCATATTTAGCTCCTTCATTGAGGGTACCAAACTCAATGGGGCAGAAATCTGAACACTATCAAAACAATTGAAAGACTAATTTCAATCAACAGAAACGGTGTTCTAGCGAAGATGTTGTAAACTTTCTCTGTTAGATAAAATAAGAAATGATGAAATAAGAGATAAAATGAAAGTGCAAACAACTTTGAACGAGACGATCGAAATTAAACAACTAAAATGGTATGGACATATGAGAAGGTTGAAATCGGATAAACTTCCTCAAAAACTTTGGGAGTGGATACCAAATCGAAGAAGATACAGGGGAAGACCGCTAAGAACATGGAACATGGCAATAACAAATACATGACGCAATAACATAATACATGGCAATAACATAATACATGGCAATAACATAATACATGGGAAATGGTTGGAATGGAAAAAAGAGAAATGGAGGAAAACGATGTATGGGGTAAAGAGGCATGGAAATTGGGATGCGGAAAACGGCCAAGGCTGTAAAAAACCGCTAAATTGATAGAGAGGCAGGAATGTAACACGCTCATCGCAAGGAGATGGTTTGTGCTGACGCCCGGAGGACTGGACACGGTGCAATGTGTGGGGTTGATTTAGGCAGCTGACAGATGCCGCCAAATTACGTGAGCTCGGCGAATGTTGGATCTCATATTCAGAAATGCGTCGAACACTTTTATTAGTTTTATATCTCGTTGTTTGATTCCTGCAGTGGCTTTGTTGACAGATATGAGAAATTGATGTTTCGAGTTTGGAGAAACTTCCTTGTTCATTCTCTATCATTATCCATTACTCCTGCCATTATTTAATGGTGTCATGTGTAAAATAAATATAGTTTGAATTTTCAGGGAAATTGAGATACATATCAACTTTCTGAGAAAAAACATACAAACATATTTCACAAACTATTTATTGCATTTAACGTGTGTTACATCAAAGTTGTAATTCGTCTAAATTGCAGTTTGAGAAAATGTCGACTTACTAGAAATTATTAAATTTAAAAAGTTAAAATTAATAAAAAACACTCATTATTTGACACCAAATTATCCATGAATAAGTATCCGTAGGTCAGAAGGCTCATGTGTTTCGAGTAGGCTGAGGTGGAGTGACAGCAGCGTGGGCGTTTGAGGCAGCAGAGGCGGGGGCGCGGAGCTAAGGCGCGTCGGATCCCTGTGGATATACTTTATGCGCGGCACTCGGCTTGCCGGCTTCGACGTGGGGGTTGCGCGCTTAGCATATGTAAATGGCCCTCCCCCTCCGCCGCCTCCGCGTCATCCTCCGCCTCCTCCGCCTCCGCCTACGCCTCCGCCTCCTTCTCCTACTTCTCCTCCTCCTCTTCCTCCTCTTCCTGCTCCTCTCTCTCCTCCTCTTCCCCCTCCTTCGCATCCTCCGTGTCCTTCTTCGCCTTCCCCTCCACCTCCCCCTCCTTCTCCTCCTCCTCTTCCTCCTCCTCCTTGTCCTCCTTTTTCTTCTTTTCCTCTTCTTCGCCTGATTCTCTCCCGCGTCCTCCTCCGTCTTTCCCTCCTCCGCCTCTTCCTCCTTCTCCTTCTCCTCTGCCACCGCGCGCGTCGATATTTATCTGTCGCTGGAAGAAAGGCGTGCACGCGCAGCCCGGCACCCGTCGCCCTCTGTGATCGTCTTGCTGTGCGGCCCCCCAAAGCCACTTGGCGGAATGAACACACGCGGCTCAGCCGCGCTAGAGGGAAACAGACGGACGGGGGCGGAAACGTCGGCGCTAGCAGGTAATGCGGCTGGATGTAAGTCGACGCGGCGGGATGACTGAGTGGAGCCGGCAAGTATATCTGAGGAGACGTACGGATGAGCTGAAAGAGATGTAGAAACATGTTACCAATGATTGGGTTCGACGAATATTATTCGTACGCATTACACCATTTCGAATCATATTGCAGTGTAAGTTATGATAACTTAGGTTTCCGCAGCCGTATTCTGTACCTACTTGGTTGTCCGGGAGACGACGTGACCCCTGGCACATGTGCCAACGTTTCGGCCGCAAATCCGCGGCCTTCCTCAGGGCGAAATGCGCAAGGTGTAGGGTGAAATGTCATTTCGCCCTGAGGAAAGTCACAGAATGGCGGCCGAAACATCGGTCCTAGGACGCGACGTCTCCCGCACAATCAAGTAGCTACACTTAAAGTTATCCCAACATCCTTCCGCGATTGCCTTGCTCTTCTATCCTAAAAGACACTTCCTAGCTCACGCTTCCTCCACAAGCAGATGAAATGCTGGAGTGTTAGAGGCTGAGGGGTAAGCAGGTAATGGTACAAATTGCTAACTCTGCTGTGTCCGGGAAGTGCTTAGTTACAGTCAAATGCTTTCTGCTTCCTTTGTTCTCAAGAATTCTCAAGACGACTCTTCTTCTTGAGTTTTAATTGCGTTCAAGTTGAAGTACAAACGTCTTCTGCGGGTCTCGATATAAACTAGCGTGTTCTGGAAGATAATGGCTTACGTACCGTATAATGTTTCTTAAGAACGCAATGAGCCCATAAAATGAAATCACTTTGGAATAGAATAGAGACGTGGACGTCTTCCGTGTCCTAGGGGACACTCAACCAATGTAGGACCACAGACAAAAAGATAACAAAGTAGCTGGTCTGAAAAGAGAACGTCTAAGGTGAGTTAAATTTAAAAAAAGGAGTATGTCAAATCTAAATTGTTTTTTGAGCTCAAACAAGAATCATAATGAAAGTCTGAAGTACTGTTCTTATTTTCCATCAGTTGAACTGCAAATGGTGCGCAAGCTGTCTGGAGTGTGCTCGCATCAAGAGTATTTCCCTTCTACTTTTTCTTAATGTTTCTCGTCTCCTTTTTGTTTTTCTTCTCCCAGTCGCCTCTCCTTCTCACTTGCCGGGTTTCACTCGCAAACTCTTCTCTCTTCATCTCCGGCATCCACTAGTCCGCCTAAAGTCCCTTCGCATCAGGAGTATATCACTTGAAGTGTCAACTTTTTCTTCATCCAGCTCTTGTGCTTCTTTTTCTTCTGAGTTGAAGTCTGCGAGTGTATTACTAGCAGCCGACTTTCGCAATCCAGCTTCCATCTCTTGTATCATAGTCACTCTTTCACTTACTCGTGACGCTGGTTTCCACTTCAACGCATTTGAAGCCAGCATCCTTCATCCAATGTATTGATGAAGTTGGTGATTGGTTTGTTTGCTTGCGTTCAATGTAGTGAAGAAATGAAGGTTTCGTAGTGTTTGGTATTTGATGAGATGGCTGCTCATAGATCTAATAATGATAAATTGAAGAAGGGATGAAAACAAGCAAGTAGATCGAAGTATAAAACACACGGCATTCAGATGCAATCATTTATTTTGCTAGCGTTTCGATAAAGTAAATTTCACCTCTTCAGACCAAGCCGATATTAATACAGTTTTGTGTAACAAATTAACAGTGATATATTATAGTTAAATAAAATGGAGATAAAATTAAACAAATCTGAAAATGTAAAAATAATAATGTAGAATCCATGTTTTTTAATTTCATGTATATAATTTCAAACGCACGTCATATTTTATGGTATAAAGTAATAATTTTAAAAAATCCCTCAAATTATTCTTGGTGTGTATGAAGAGTTATGTTTGCATAGACTTGCTTTTACACAGTGTTCATATAGCGTTACATAGTGTTACAGTTAAGAAATAGGATTCGTTATGCTTAATGTTAACGTTGCGTCACTTTTAAGCTGTGGTAGGGCAGTTTTATTATTATTATTATTATTATTATTATTATTATTATTATTATTGATGTCGTTGTTGGCCGTTCACTTCCATATGGCGGCATGTCAAATGCTGGCTGTGCACATAGGAACCCACGCAGAGGGAAGGCGCAGGAGCGGTCGGCGTCGGCCGGGGATTGATGGCCGCTGGCGCTGCGCTGGCGGAGCCTTTGCTGCTTCGGCGCCGCTCGATCTGCGCGCGCACGTACTGGCTAGGATGGCTCAGAGGCAGGGTTGCCACAACCTCTGCAGCGCCGCGGGACGGATAATCCTAGTATTCGGTAGATCGTATTCAGACGCTGTCTGCACCACAATTTGTACCTGCCGGTTGTTCTGATCGGTAGTTTTTATGTGGTTTCTCCGATCAACACCGGTCGAATGACGGGGCAGTATCTTAACAAACGGGCTACGGATCATGTCCCCTTCTCTCCCCCTACACACATATGTATTGCAGTGTGAACTGCACCGTTTCACAATGGAATCCAGTCGATAGCTTAGAGGTTGTCGTGGCTGGGCGGTACTCCGCTGGGGGAGATTCCTGAAGATGCTGAAACCTCGCAGTCCGACTGGCGGGTCTCACGTTCCGATGCGGGAGGGAACACCTCCACCTTCTGGGATATAACATGCGCTACACTTACGGTGCTAGTGGTCATAATAGTTCACGCTTCTATACCACTATACAATCAGATGACTCGCGTGCGCCTCTTGTTCATAACTAATTTAGTCAATTTTAATAAAAATGTACCATAAATTGATGATATCTTAACTAAAAATTCTCGTGATTAACTTGATTTTTTTAATGTATACAAATCTGTTATCCTAAATCCTCTGCCAACGCTGACGAGCCCTCAAAAGTAACGAGTACTCAAATTAAGACTCGGCATATGCCAAACATTTGCAGTACCTTGATTGCAGGTCACGAACAAGTAAAAACAATTGCGTGTTATAAACACTTTTTTATTCTTAATTCATGTGTAAAGAACCACTGAACTCACTGGCTTTACTTTGTCCTCCAAGTTTGATCTGGAAAACAAGGTAATAATGACAGCTTGCCTTTTTGGAAAATATTGTAGAATTTCTTGAATTACACGATTGACATATTCGATGGAATGAAAAAACATATTTTACATTTTTAAAATCTAATATAAGGTGTAGATTTTTCGAACACCTCTTTATTTAATAGTATTTTTAATCACTAGAGCGAGGATAATATAAAAATGTTTGAAATGTGATTTTAAAAATATGGGTTAATCTAAAAATTCTGAAATAGGCGCTTAAATATGTAATTAAAATTAACAGTATTTCATTTCCTGCATAAACGTTTTTTTGATAAAATTCAGGAGAAGCATGCGTAATGAAAATATCTATTTTTGTGCAAAAATATTATAATATAGCTTACTTCGCGGGACAATTAATTGAAATAAATATGCACCTTAGTGAAGTATATTGTATGTTTTGATTAATGTTTTCCCCTCACTCTTGTATTACTAGAATTGACCACACACACAAATAATATACTGAATTGACTTGCACATTTCACGAAGCCCTCAGTGCACTGAAGTTGATGATATATGTTATATTAGTATTACCTCTGAACGTCACTACTTTTTACTTTCAGCACAATATGTAAAGGCAACTGCAACATACAGCATGTCAACCCCATTGCTTGGTTTCCGAGAATCTCTGGCAGTATTTCATACTGTAAATACAAGGGATAGTTGCTCTGGCTTCGCGAATCACATGCATGAGAATGACGTTGGGAAGTGTGCATTGCAGCGCTATTTAGCTGATATGAAACAAATAACGCTATTGAAGTTCGTAAAGCGAGGCAACGCCGAATTTTAAAATCATTCCGACTTCATTGTGTGTTATAAGTTGAGTTTTGTTCAGTTCGTTTCGTAATATCGGATTCTTAAAAAAAAAATAACATAAAATTGAAATACCCTGGCTTTGAATATGCCATCTTGGCTACAACTCATTGTGTAACTTTTCATTCCTCCATTTAATTGTTGTGTGTCAACATAACAGTATAGAATTGTGGAAAAAAAATGAACGAATGACCTTGCATATTAATGACTGTGGGGAAATGCAATTGACATGATCGAACGTAGTACGAGATATTACCTGTATCCTCTCTTGAAATGTAAAGTTATCAATATGTTTTCGTCTGTGAGGAAAAATGAGCGCATAGAAATATATTTTTTAGAGAATGGCTAATGAATGTCTCTTCGTAAAATCGCATTATCAATTTGAATAGTTTCGTCGATCATTCCACCTATGAAATCCTGGCAATACATCGTTTCACGCACGAAATACTGATGTTTACGATTTCGCGACTTCTAACTACGCGCGACGCCCTGAGGTGCGTTGAGTACCGCACGCTTTGTCCGCTGTCATTGCTGCTGCGGAGATCCGTTAGTAAACAGAAGCCGGTGCTAGTGCCAACATTTGATGCGTGGTGACGAGCCGAGTGCGTTTGCGTTTCTACTGAATCGGCATGCGGAGTAATTTCATCGGAATATTAAACTAGCCGTGGCATGGCCCGGGACTATCCGCTTGTCTCTAATCCGACGTGACTCTTCATGCGTCGTAGTTTGTAGTTAGCCCGCGATCGCTCGCGCCCCCACGTCGCGCCACTGGCTGGGTCGTAACGTAATAGATAGATAGATAGATAGATAGATAGATAGATAGATAGATAGATAGATAGATAGATAGATTTATTATTTCTGCAGGTAGGTATAGAACCTGGTGGCAGAACACTACATTTTACATATCACAACTAAGAATAGTAATACACTGTGATTTTAAAGCATTAGTAATGAGATTGAAAACACCGGTAGCCCCGCAAATCTCCGAAAATCATGTAGGCAGCTTGGGTAAGAAACGTTTCTTTGTGTTCTAGGTACACCGTTACCTCGGCATTAATGTGTTAATTCGATTTTCCCTTTTTATTATAATATTGAAAGGATAAAAAGAGCGTGAGTGGCAAATTGGCATCGTGATTAAACTCGTGGCAACTAGGATTTCAAGTAATGCGTACAGAAATTAAAGTTACACTTCGTTGTATTTTTCGTTTAATTTCTTTATCTATTATTTGTTTTTCCTCGAGAAGAGACTTTGTCTATGAACTCTTGTTAATTCTAGTGGACTAACGCAGGTAAAATGGTACTGTCGAGTGTGTGGAAATTAGGGTCCTAGAGCTGCCAAAAGTGGCTGATCTGGAACAGATCATTTTAAAACTGAAGCTTTTTTCGTCGTATGACAATAGTGTAGATATATCATAAGCAGTGACGCAATGAAAATGAGAATGTAATCGTAAAAGTAGGTACTATTAAAAAGTGCAGATTAAAGCCAGAAAAGGTGCAGATTAAAGCAATCTAAACGTAGCAATGCCCCAAAACTGGATGCAAGCAAACCATACTCCAAATTAGACTCCAATTTTAGTCTAATGCAGTACCCTATTCCCAAATTTTAGGCACTTGTGTATTTCCCAAAATCATGGGCGCTTCTTGGTTGAATCTAATGCTTAGCGCACTCATGTAGAAAATTCACTTTCGCATTATTAGAAGTTAACGAAATGCATCCAAAATTAAAGGCTAATTGAAAACCGTAGGGAAAGTATTGTTCTTTCTCTTATTTTACAAAAATCATAGATGTAAGAAGAACAAGAGGCAACGTACGTTCTTGTGTGCTAAAGTAAACGGGAGCTCTAAAAACCACGACTCGCTTCCCAAAAGTCGCTCTCTCGTACGCCTTTCAGCACTCTCTCTGAAGAAATTAATTAAAACGAGGGAAACGCCTGATACAACTTCGATGTGCGATAATAAAACGTTTGAAGTGAAATCAGATGATTTTCATATTCGTAACTCCTCTATGGGATTCGATGAACAAGTTTGCTTATGGGAACTCTACATATACTATATCTTCTGGAATATATGAAGTTTTTATTTTGTGCACAATCTTTTATCTTGATATATGTATTAAGACAATGTAGAAACTGCGGAATTAAATATTAAAAGTTATTTTATTCTGCAATTCCATTGAAATTGTGAGAATAATGTAAGAAACATATAGGAACTCTCGCAAAGATGTCTTGGAAGTAAATACATTTAGAATCCGTTGTCGGTAAGGTGGATTTGTGATCGAATTTTTTTACTTGAGCTTCTTTTGTTGATTTTTCCGTGAACTTGATTGTTTTTGTTTTTATTTTTAAACTGTGTTCTGGCAGTCACTTTTTAGTGTATAAAAGTGTTGTGAAATGATTTTTTGTGTGTTGTGTATAGTAATTCATATACTTGAAAATATTTAAAAGTGCACAACTATTTGGTATTGCGAATTGAATAAGATGCGTCGGAAATGAGGTATAGCAAAAAAGTGATGTGATAATGCTGTGTATAAAAGTTCAATTCCAAAAAGTTCAATTCGAGCCAAATTCGAAAATGGTGTATATAATAGATGCATATAATATTACTTACAGAGAGGCACTACATTTTAGTTTATGTAATTGATGTAAATTGATGAAATTTGTGTTCTTACTGTTACCTTCTGTCTTTTACAGGTAAGTGTTCAATCTTCATCTCTTGCGAGACTCAGGCCTTTTCATAAGTGCCTGAGTGGATGGTGAGTGAAGTACTTTTTAATATTTTTGGAAAAAGTTAACAATTTTAAACTGTTCCTAAAATCCCTCGCCCAGGAACAAAATGTTAATCACGGCTTTCAACATTATTTTGTGTACGTTGCTACATTACACATACCCGGTATCATATTGTCCAAATAGACCCTAATCGGAACGAATGTTTTTGACATGTATTACTTACAAATGAAACATGGTAGAAACTATATTAATGAAAAGAATGTCTCTATTTTAGTTGTTATGAAAGGGAAGAATCATTATTCAGTTCGGAAAGGAATTGAGCAATTTCAGTCTCAATTCTTACATTACTCTTGCTGTTATTATCTCGCATTTAGTTTCATTTGACTGAAATTTCTGTTCACAGACTCAAGTTAATGTTATTTCACTATTAATTCTCTTGTAAGAAAACACGTTCTCGTTAACGTATGTGGGAAAAATAACTTCTGGTCCGACACATGTTCTTCCAGTTTTTTTGATATGGAAAGTAATGTTTAAAATATGTTTAAGTTGACAAGTCTGGAATTTACTCGACTGATATGCAAGGTTCTTTACACCTGTTGACCGAGTAATTAGCAACTACCCGATCCTGATATGGAATCATGTCCCCATAAGTTAATCAGAATTTTATGCATTTTTACCAAGTGTATGCGTGAGAGGTAAACTCGTATTTTAGATTGCATGTTCTGATAAAGGCCGATTATCCTACTTTCTCCATCACCAAGTTAGTGGCACTGAATTCATTAAATTTGTTAAGAAGAAATATATTGATGATACTAGATTCATGGTACCTTTTTAATATATTTTTTAGTTGTGTAATCGGCTAATATAATAAAATTCATACCAGAATAGCTTCTAGGTTCAGTAACAAAGGAAAAATACAAGTGTTACGATGAAAGAACGAGACGATCTATTGTCTGCAAAGAAATGTTATTTTCCGTAGAACGTTTCACTTTTTCTCATACTTCTTACGTGGTATAGAAAAGTATTGTAGTACTGCAGAGGAAAACGGTGTTTTCGACAGAAAAACCCCTATTGTGTAATCCTGATACCACAAAAATGCATAATGGTTGCAAAATTGATAATATTACATTTTATATTGAACTTAATATATTTATTACATATTCTTACTGTTTTCATTACATGTTTATGTACATATTTTGACTTTCATACTACATATTTTCCAATCTCTACTAATAAAATGGACAAATGTACGTTATTCTACTGATAGCTTCAATGCAGTAAGCGTCCAGTGAAAGCAGTATTGATGATTTGATTCTGTATTCTTTTCAGTGAGGAAAATTGTTGGGTGTGTAAAAGTTATAGTTTTGCTGGTATACTTTCTATATGCATTAGAGGGTTATTTGGCGTTCAAATTGACATGTCTCTTCCGGTTTTGTTTTGCAGAAATGAAATACCAGAAACTTCGCGACTAAGACGAGCGTCTAGCTACTGAATTTTTATAATGATATTCGACAAAAAAAAATTGCTGCCTTTTTATCTTGACTTAAAAATGATTTTCTTGTTTTATCAGAATAAGCAATTCCGATCGCATTTTAGAGGTTACTGTTCAAAATACGAAAAGGAGAATGAGATCGCTTGTTTTGCATTTACACTGTTGCTAATTTTAATGTCACTACGTTTCACTAAGAGTTCAAAATTTCACTTCATATGGGCCTGTGAGAAATTGTTTAATCAAATTGTGAAGGTAAGAAAGTGAACTGAAATCGAATGTTTTCTATGACACAGTTTTTCTCATGGGGTGTCCAGGTTCGCATATTTCGCATATTCTTGCTGTTATGGTTTTAGAGGTCATTTGATTATTCTCATTTGAAAAATTCTCTAGTATCTCTAGAGATTTTAAGAAATTTACTCTTGAATGGCCTAACACGCGGCTGATCTGGTCTTCAGCCTGTAAATAGAAAAGGTTTTACGTTTTTGTCATTCAATCGGCCGCTCGGAATGGAAATGAAGACGTTCCTAAATGCGAGCAGGATACACCCCCTGAGACTCTACAAGTGTGAGCTCGCCCCGGAAATATAGAAACAGAATATTGCTTGACGTTACTAACAAGTCTGACCGGATCTTCCCTAAAGAATCGCGGCGGTGGCGGGGTCTATGGAAATGGTAATGTAGTTGGCGGTGGCGATGGGCGGAGCAATGACCGCGGGAATTCGGTTGATGGTGGTGCTAGAAATAGCGTGGTTTTGGAATGTTTAGATTCAGAAACACGACGGCATTGGCATGGCGTTATAAAAGTAAGTTTGAATGAAAAAGCAAGCACTCGAGGTGACATACACCGCAAAATTTAACGGCGACGAAGTTGCCACCTACTAAAGTGGCTAAAAAATATGACATTGACTCCATGGAGTCAAGTAAAAGTGACTGCTGTTGTAACTATTTTCTGCTACACCTTTTTCGGCACAAAGATCCGGCGTTCCGTCCACACCGATGTATTGTAGCATATCGAAGCCGATTTAATACTATAGGCCTATGGATCACCTGCTTAGTGTCTTTCTAGCGGGAAACATTTGTTTCCCTATTCCTTTGTGTTCTCACTCATTTCCTGCACGAAGAGCCGGAAAGGCGAAGCAGGCAATATCCAGGATGTTTGCTAAGGCTGTCTTATGTTATTTTTTGTGTACATTGCTTAGTTCTTTTTTGGTATATTTTTATTTATTTTTGTACGGATTATTTCGTTCTTGGAGGTTAAATATCTACACGTAGTATTGATTTAGTACTTTCAGTAGCTTGAAAAAATATTGGTAAATGTAAAATGTGAGAGTGAATGATTAATTTGATTTTGCCATACTTCATACACATTTTTATTGATGTAAATATTAATTGATTAACTATTCTTAATATGCTCTGTTACCAAATTACGAGAATCGTAGTGCTTATAATATAGCATTTTAATTCTGCAATTCATATTTCAAAGATTAAGAAATATGTGAATCTATTACCTACTTCTAGAATCTATGAATATACAACCGTCGCTGCCGTGCGAGAATTGTAATTGGTTTCTGAACGAGACTCGAATAAAAAAAACATTATCAAAGAGGACCACACGTGGGGCACTCCTAGTTTGGGCGATGGAGGAAGTGAGTGTGAATCGAATTCCTGTTCCAATTTCAATAAGGTCTGCTTCACGACGTACCCAATTTTCGCTTCACCTGCCAAAGAAATTAACCTTCCACCCAGAGAACGACGCCGATCTCACATCCTAAAACCAAATTTACACTAACTCAGGTTTACTGAGGGGAGGGAGCCGTGTTCGCCCGGTTGTTGGGCGACAGCTCGCGCTCTTCGCACGTCGTCAGTCTGCTCCGCCCGGCTCGACCACGGCGACCTGCGCGACGCGGCGCGGGTCGGAGCGCCCGGGCGAAGAATAACGGTTATTGGCTCGGGCGGCGGAGCGGAGCGGCGCGGCGCCGGCTGCGTCGCGCTCTCCGAGTTAATTAATTCGCACGTAAAGTATTTCCGAATTGCGGTGACCGGGCGTCGCCGTCGCCACCGCGACCTCCCACGCCGCCGGCGTCGCCGTCGCCGCCGCCGCTCCCTCGATCGCCAAAAACCGTCCGCTTCGGCTTCCGATTGCGTGCCTGATCACGTTGCAACTATATGCCGCTACCGGTTTCTGCATTTCTCTCTGTGGAAAGCAATTAGTATCCGATATCGCATCATATTCACACGCTGTCAACTCCTTCCCCAACTTGCCTCCCACCATCACTGACAACCCACATCGACTGCCGTGTTTTCCACTCCCCCCGCCCCCCCATTTGGTTGCGCCCCCCTCATCTCTTTGCCCCTTCCTCCGTTCGACATCACACTAACAATCTCCATAACCACTTTCACCTTTACATTGTTTTCGTCTGTACATCCACTTCCGTCTCCGCTGCCATGTTCTACATCCACCACCGCCACTACCTCCATCATGAATAGAATACATTCAGAATACTAGGACTTCGGCCGCTAGCAATCACGTTGGTACTAATACTAACACTAAGTCCGACGCCATCAGTTAGACTATCGACAGTTCCGTTACCTCCACCACCCACCATCAGAATTATCTTCCTCCACCATCATTACTTCACGTCTCTTGCTGTCGTCGCAGCAGCCGTTTCCACGTTGGGTTTCCAGGGCAGGCCCGCGGAATGTACTTGGCGCATTGGCGCCCAGTCGACCTGTCTCGCGCCTGCAAGTTTGCTCTCCATCCCCCAACCCCCATCTGACTTCCTGCCCCGCCACTTCCTGCTGCAGCGAGATACTTGCTCTCGTATAGAGGCGCCTGCCGCTCCTGGCTGGAGCAGGCTGACTAGTTTACCGGAGACGGTTCGGGGAGGGTTTCGCGTTGTTGGTTACTTCGGCCGGCGCAGTTTTCTACTAGAACGCGCGACCGCCCCGCCCCGCCCCGCCCCGCCCGCCCGCCCCGCCCGCCCCTGCCCGCCCCGCTTCCGCCGGTCACCGCCCCTCCCAGCCCTGCCGTCCGACACCCGCCCCGCCCTCCGCGCTCCATCCCGCCCCTCCGCGCTCCATCCCTCCCCACCGCGCTCCACCCCGCTCCGCACGGCCCCGCTCCTCCTGTCACCGCTTCTCACCGCTCCGCTCCTCCTTGCACCACTTCCCATCTCGGCACATCACTTACCACTCTGCGCGCAGGCTTTCGAAATCCCGCTTTGCTCTGCGCCGGGGACTTCCTTGGCATGAGGTTTATTCCCCCTCCCGTGCTTCGCCAGCCCCTCCTGAAAGGCCGCAGCTGCCCTGGCGAAGCTTCTGTCGCCTAGTACAACTGAGCGGAATTATGAACATTTTGGAAGGAAATGTTCATAATGTTTTATTTGATGAAAATTAGGGAATTTATGGTTGGTAGATATAGGGGCAGTGATTGTCTACATTCATATTGTACAATGTAGAGTTCACGTGATCTTACAGAATACACGCCCTGGCGCCATTCGACTTTAAAAATGTAATCATAACGGCAGTAAAATTTCTTCATTTAAGTGTTCCGTTTAGTCTTTATTTAATTTTATTCTTTTTAGAGAGAAGTACTAGGATTTAGAGATATTATTATAATGTATGGTGTATAGGGAGCTTGGAGATGGTATTACGACACCATATTGCGTTATGTAGAACGCAGCACAGCATCTCCCGGGATGCGAAATGCACTTGGATTCTGCGCACAGAATTAAGGTTAAATCTATCGAGAGTATTTTGTGATGAGTTATAAATAATTATCAGTCTTGGACATAGAGAATACTCGGAAAGTATTCGCATGTTTACAATTCACTCAGCGAATGGAAGGCCGTCGTTACCCAATGAACGCTTTTTGTGGCATTTTGAGATTTGATGTTTACTTTCGCTTGTGTGAATAAATGGTCATTTCTGCGCACTATATCCATCCTTAATAAGTTGTGTCTATTACTTTATATTTTGTTGAACATTGAAATATACATTTAAAAAATTCTGCAATTAAACATGACTTACACCACTTCATATTCACGGAGTTGTGTGATGATTTCAAAATAATAATTTATGTGTATATCTAGTGAAATACGAAATTCCACGAATAGGTTCCGGAGACTGTAATTTAGTTTAAATCTAGTTTGCATGCATTGACTTATTGTCATTATTAATATTATCGAGAGTGTGTTATGCACAGAATATCTAAAGTCCTAATTAAGTCGTCGAACACGTTCAAGAATAATCTGGAATCTGTATGTGTGAGCATTTTGTACGTTATAACCACAATCTGAGATCCACGGGATGTGTAGAATACTAAGTCAAATAACGTTTTCGCGGATGGCGGCTGATGACGTTGTGTTTGCTGAAATCTCAGGGGGGGGGTGGCGCCCTGCCGTGTTCACGCAGCGCGGCGTTGGACGAATCGCGTGCGTGGTTTAATGCGCCGAGGGGACAAAGTGGTACCTTGCGCTTATGAGCAGATTTCATCATCAATTTAATGCGATGATAAATCGCGATGTGCGATAGGCGTTTGGGACGTTCTCTGACGATAATCCTGTTCATGACGTGCCAAGCGCTTTGTTTTTGAACGCGTGAACGGGTGCCTCGTCACGCGTTCTAATTGTTTCAACGATCGGTCGTGTTTTCTCTCTCTCAGGAATGCTCAAAAAGATACATTTTTTTCTGCGTGATATTCCTACTCGTGATTACCTCCAGTAAACTTTTATCATTTAGCTTTTAGAATGGAAATACGCTTGGCTAATCCATGACATAACTTTTTTTTTTAAATTTGCATTTCACGCTCTAGTGCATAAACTGTGTTAAAGTGCGCTTTCATGCAAGGCTTATTTGAAAATATCTATAGTACGAACCCAGTTTTTACATCTTAAGCGAAAGAAAAATGTAAAAACTTGCCTTACATAAATAATTATTTTTTCGCTTACTGTGTTTTGGGACGAAAAATCCGCGCTGCCTTCGTGCGTGTTACTTTTATCTTATTACGATAATGTTCAATTCAACGATAATCGAATAAGTAGTTGAATATGTTCTCATTTTTTCAGAAAAAATTGAGAAAATGTGAAAAAAATGTTCTTTTATGCTTCGATAGGCAGCAGCGAAGAGGGTTGGGGCAAAACTGAAGAGCTACCCCAGACTATAAAGATTAAGAAACAAACCAGAACCGCAAAGTCTGTTCCATTCTGTAACACTATTAGTTTTTTAATTGATGCTTGCAACGTTCGTACAAAGTTATTTCAGACCTTTTGGCTTCAGGTAGTAAAATTAAATTAATACTAAACAAGGAAATTGTGTAACAGTTTACTACCTCCGAGTAAGGCCTAAGGATATGTGCGATTTTTTTCGTATGAAACTATTCCTCCGTTTTCGATTTAAATCACATGACAGAATGGTGAAAGCAATGTGGCGGAGAGATGAAAAGTAGATATGGTGTGAGAAACGTCACGAAAGTCGGATATATCTATCATTAGGCAATACTCAGAAATTAACATGAAGTACAGACGGGTTAGTTGCAGAGAATGGTCACGGCAAAGATATTGAGGTTCAACTTTTGATATACATTTACAGTTTGGTGAATGAACAAATATACTTACAATATGGCGTTCATGGGGCAGGGGCAAAGAAGAAGGAACAACAACATAACTGAAACACAATGCAATAAGGATCAATGCGACTCAATAAGGATGAAATTATTGATCCACAGTTTTCGGATTAAATTATTGATCTCCTTTTCTTCAATTCTGTTGTATTCTTCAACAAAGGAGAGGTACGACTTTGACCGTAGCAATTTCATTGCAAACATCAGCCTCGCGTGCACGGCTTCCGTCTCCAGAGCGAATTCTCCGCGTCTCGGTGGCGCGAAATTGGCTCGATAAATAATCCGCGGAGGGGCGGCATTCGCCGGAAAGGAGCGGCGTGGCAGGTGGAGGGGAGGGAGGGGGAATGCAGAACGGCGGCGCCGCGCGGTGCCGCTTAACGAGTTTACTCCAGGTAATCATATCTCGCTCTTTCGGCTCAGCGCCCGCGCCCGCCCGACGCCTCGCGCGCGCTTCCGAACGCTCGTGTTTCCGCATGGCTCAAGCGTCTTTCATTGCCACTCCAGTCGCATTTCCCTCCGTGTTGCTTACGTGCCTTTTGTTTGCGCCTCTAGTCCTGTTTCTCTCGTAGGTTTTCGTTTGTGTTGCTTACGTGTCTTTTGCTTGCGCCTCTAGTCCTGCTTCTCTCGTAGGTTTTCTTTTCGTGTTGCTAACGTGTCTTTTGTTTGTGTTTCTAGTCCTATTTCTCTTGTCGGTTTTCGTTTCGTGTTTTTTGCGTCGTCGTCGTCTGTCGGATTAAACCTTATTGCGTTGTGTTTCAATTATGTTGTTGCTCCTTCTTCTGTGCATCTGCCGACGAACGCCATACTCTAAGTATATATGTTCATTCACCAAACTGAAAAGGTGTATCAAAATTTGAACCTCATTATCTTTTCCGTGACCATTCTCTGCATCTAACCAGTCTGTACTTCATGATAATTTCTGAGTATTGCCTAATGATAGATTTATCCATCTTTCACGACGTTTCGTATACCATATCTACTTTTCATCTCTCCGCCACATTTCTGTCCTGTCTTTTGTATCTATCATGCAGACCACGTTGAACTCTATATACATAGCAAACATAATCAAATCACCACTTCTATTTATATCGAACTCAACCAGACTTACTGACTCAAGGGAGTTTTGGAAGTCCTTCCGACCATCCAAACCCAATACGTTTTTGCGAATGTCTCTCGGCCCTTTTGCCCAATACCTTCTACCTCAGTTATACTCTGCTACCCACGTACTCCACCTGACGTCTCCCGCGCCCTCTGTCCCTTCTCGTCGACATCCGCTTCGCCATTCCGCCGCACGAGGACCACGCCGTCCCCACTTCTCCCTGACGCCGCTCCCTCAGCGCTCACCTGCTTCCACTGCACTGCCTCCCTCGGCGATCCGCGGCTGTGCTCTGCCGCCCCCAGCGCCTCTGCGCCTCCCTCGTCGACTCTACCGCTCTGCTCCTTCGCAGCCTATGCATCGCTTCCAGGGGCACCTCATAGGCTCTAAAGGCCCATTCACAATGCAAACATAAACATAAACATGGCGTTGACATAGACGTTAGGTCTACGCCCACAAGCGGACTCGTTCACTACGCGTTCGCATAAGCATACCACGAAAGACGGTAACTTAAAAGCTTGCAAGCTTCTGTGCTTATGCTTCAGTAGGACATAAGAAATGAACCAATCACAGTACGTTAACTCAAATTCGAGAATCGAAAGAGGAGCGAAGTCGATAGAAGAACTAACGCCCTGTACCACGGGCCATGGACACAGTCGGTACCTCGAAAACGGTTTTCACATTCAACCAATAGTAAACTACAATGTCTCAGAGCCAATAGAAACTCTTATTTTGCGTACGTTTATGTTAGACTTTGTCAATGCTGCAGTCTGTTACTGATGTTAATGTTTACGTTTATGCGTTATGCTTTTGTTTGTGTTTGCATTGTGAATGGGCTTTAACACCCGTGACACTTTCGCGTAGCCTTATGTCGTCTTCGCGCCCTCCCTGCTCCACCCTCGCGGCCTGCAATTATCTCCTCCGCCTTCCCTTCCATCCTGCGTCCCCCCTCTGCCACTCTCGTCGTCCCTGCCGCCCTACTCCTTTACAGTCCCTTACGTCTGTTCACCCACTCGTCTCTTCCACCCCCACGTCTGCGTTGTCTCGCACGACTCCCCTCTGACCTGTTCCTTGTGACCCCCTGACGCCTCCACGACGACCGCCTTCCTCTATCGCCGTCTCTTCCTCCCCCGCGTCATCCCACTGCACCCTTGCTCGTCATCTTCTTGGATGTCCGTGGCGTCCCCGCGCTATCCCGCGCCGCCCCTGCGGCGTGCATCTTGTTCCCCCGCCCCGCCGCCCACGCGCCGCCGCTTTGTGCGCTATCTGCGCGTGAGGCGCAGCTTCAGGGCTCGCTGCACTTCAAAAGCACGCTGGGCTGCGCGGCGCTGCGCGGCGCGGGGGGCGGTATCTGGCGCGTCTTGGCGCAACCACGCTCGCTGCGCACGAGGCGCACGCACGTCGCTGCTTAGGGCTTAGAGAAGAGCTACTCTGGCTCCAATACGCCCACGGAAACCTTAAAGGACTAAGCATTCTGCTTCTTGCTTCTTCTTACGCATTATCGCCCAGGAACCGATAACCGCTTATAAGGTGGCGTTTGCATCTTTTTAAATAACTCAAAGCACGTTTGGAAAATATGTTTTTTGCATTAGCGAGCCAGTCGCATACCTAGTCATTTTTAGTTTCACTTGCTTTATGTCTGACATCTGTTGGCAAATGCCTTCACGAACATCTAGTTGGCATCTTAAATTCGGTTTTGTAGGGTATTCATCATTACAACACCTATATCATTTAATATGCAGGTGTTATACGATTGTGTAATCTTCCATGGTATCTTTCTGTTATGATTTGTTTCTCGACCTGTTGTGGCTTCTTCGCATTACTGCACTGCTATCTCAGCATAACATAATCAAACACAAAGGGGAAAAAATGAACGGTCGGTGTCTATTAAGGAATTGATCTGTCCGG